TTTCCCTTCCCAGTTTTTAAATTTATGCTGTCCTTGATCTGAGGGCTTGCCCTTAAAATGGCTTCCAACTGTCTGTTGGTCTCTGAGGTGCATTTTCAGTTCTTTATGTCACCCATTAGACCATGGTTTCTCAAACCTCTCTTAACCTGACAGACGATCTAGAAAGGTGCCTAGGGGCACACAGAAGAAATCATTAAGATGCAACAGATGCATGATAATGTCACACAAATAATCCAATTTCAAAATAAGCAGCCAAACAGGTGAGAGAATAAAATATTTATAATAAATGTTTTAGGAGATTGGTAGCATTTTGGAGACCCACACATTTATTTCAATGCACATTTTCACAGATTGGAGAGTATGTGAGTTGTGATTCACCAAATCTCACTTGAAACGGGAGCTCACTCAGTCACATGGATTCGATCTTATGACTGCTGGTCTTCTGAACTCACAGCACAGAGGCTTCTGATGCCAGTAACTTGCAAATCTAATATAAACATTGGATGTATCTATAATTACTGTTTGAATAACATCAGGCTTTTATATTATATCAATTCATAAATATGCTCAACAGTAAGATATGCTGGTCAGTTCCTTGTAAATACACTTATTTATTTGTTTAGTTAGTTAACTTATATGCCGCCCACACTATCCAAAGGTCTCTGGGCGGCTTATAACAATTTAATGAAAAAAAAGAAAAGATAAAACAATTAAAATATATAGTCTAAAATTGCCATCAGGACCCACAGTATATATTATTGTAGTTCTCAACAATGCCTCTGCTGTTTTGGGAACTCTTGGCCAATAGAAACAGCATAAAAAGCAATTATTCTTTAATCACTGCTTAAGAGGGTTACTTATTTCTAAGTCTTATGTTTTTACCTCTGCTTGTAAGACTGAAATAGGGAAATTAATGCTGCAATCCTGTACACACTTTTCTGGGAGTAAGTGCCATTGAATTCAATAAGATAGAGATCTGAGCGAAGATAGAATTACATTTTAAAGATTGAAAACTAAAACATTCTCTCTTCTGAGGTTTCAAGTAGCTAGTCCTCAGTGATGTGAGGGAGAGCAGTGAGTGGCCTATTTGGAGTCTTCAGTTCTGCTCTTCCCTAGAGCACAAATTCCATGGGATGTCCAGTGGAAAGAGGGTGGATTCATCTTTCTGCTTCCCTTTCTCCCTTTGCTCTATTCCTCAGATCCAGCAACCTGTCTGTGGACCAACTTCAATTTGATCGGCTTTTTCGGCTGCATGAAGCCCTTGCTGTCAAGTTCCAGGGGAATCTTTGCCAAGAAATGGTGTGGAGGGAGAGAGAGAAAAGAAAAAAATGATTAGAGAAAGGGTTAAAAGGGAGATTCAGCTGATGATTCACAGAAAATAATTGGAAAGATATGCCCCCCCTTATTTCCATAGTTTTATATTTCCCTCTTAGTCTCATTCTGATAGATTTAATAAAGGCACGAGGAAACATCTAAGAGGTTTTTCTTGGTAATTTGATTGTGAAGTAATCTTGGTAATTTGAAGCGCGGCTCATTTCTGAGCTGAAGTGTGAACTCAGCCATTCAGGGGGTGAAAACTGCTGAAATGTCTGCCATTTGAGGGTGTTTCAGAAATTGCAACTCATTTTTTGTACTACAACTCCCACAATCCACAGGCAACCTGGTCACTGGCTAGAGACAGTCCAGGCTGAAATGCATCCTGCCCACACCAAGTTTTTCCAAACATGTTTTGTTATCAGTTTTATGAATTCCACAGAAGCAAGATGTTGGTGCTAAAGGTTGCAGGACCTCATCCAGAGGTGATACCCATATGATGAAATCGTTAGAGGCAATGAGGCAACTACAAAACTCCGCCTTCTCCTCCTCTTCCTGCTCTTTGTGACCAGCAAGATCTAACTTTGGCTCCAAAATGATTGGGAGCCAATGATCCAGAAGTAACAAGTCGAGTTTGGAACAGTGATGTGTGTAGAGAGGCTTGGAAGTGGCCAGTGGGTTTTTGTAAACATTGGCACGTCAGCGGTTCAGTCAAAGAGCGTTTGCCCTTTATATACATATAGACAAAAAACAAAAACCTTCGCAATTTACCGGCGTCTCTTCGCAAGTCCGGAAGGAGAACTTCTGCAGCAGGACCACCACGGCCATTTTGATAACCAGGAAAGCAAAGCGCATCCCAATGCAGTTCCGGGGACCCGCTCCGAAGGGCAGGAAAGTGTACGGGTCAAGGGTTTCCTTGTTCTCTTTGCTGAACCTGTGTGCAAAGCACCGTGTTTATTACCACATTTGCCTCTCCTTTGCTGTAAGAACAAGCTACGTACATCTGTCCTTCACGACCATGGTGGGAGGTCCCTTGAGTCCCTCTCTTGCTTAGGAAGGGCAGAGTTGCACGGGTGAAGTGGCTTGCTGGACCTCACGAAAGGCAGAAGAAGGCAACATCCCCCTACAATGCCCAGCTTCAGGATTGCTGGCTGAGGGCATGACCAAATCCCACACTACATAATTGTCTCAGTCCAACTGCTAGTTCTAAAGAGAGATTAGAGAACATTGACCAAATTTTGGTACACCAAGTCAACCACTCTATTGATCAGATTTGATCACTGGGCCTACTCTAGCCAATTTTTCCTTCTACATAGCCCACCACTGCTTCAGGAATGCTTGCGAAGGGCATGGTGGAATCCCCCCCCCCACATAAAGGCTTCATACTACGGTTGGAATCCAATTGTTTGTTGCAAATAGAGTGGGAGAGCCATTGTGTGTATTTCTAAATGGTACGTCAACAGTTATAGAAATCTCATGGACTGACTGGTCCTACTCTAGTTGGCTTCCGGAAATTGCCAATTTTGGGAGGAGGAGGAGATATGAAGGGTTTCTTGCAACCTACCTCTCGGGTCTGAATTCTTCCGGCTCTGACCAATATTCCGGGAGACGGTGCAGGACAAAAGCTGGGATCATGACCACAGTTCCTTTGGGGATGGTCACCCCATTGATCTCCACGTTGTTTTTGCAAACCCTTTCGATCCTTCCCCCCACAGGGTACAGCCTGAGGGTTTCATTGATCACCATGTCAAGATACTCCATCTGAAGAATCACCTCATAGGTGGGAGGAGCCTGTGAAGCAGAGAAAGTTCTGGGTGTGGGAGCCATTCTAGAAATGCTAACTGGTCCAGAAGCATGGAACTAGAGCATCTGGGAGCCTCTGAGATTCCTAAAAGAGCTAGTTTCTTGCCTTTATGGTGGCCGTGAGCAGCTCATGACAGGAGCAGGAGACTGTCCCCCTCCACATTTTCCACAAGCTGTCATAAATGTGGGCACAGAATGGTTTAATGGATTCTTAAATGACTGGATTTGGGCCAAAATTATATCAGAAAGAAAGCTCCCAGCTAGCACTGTGGCAGAAAAAAAAAGTTTTGGGGTAGCTAAGCCTCAAAGCTTTTTGATGGAAACCTTTCTTCCAACTGGTCGACATCTTGCTGTCAGGTAGAACTCCCAGAAAGGAGAATTGTGGCTTTTGCAGTCCAAAATAAAATAAAATAAAATAAAAAATAAAAACTTCATCCCCAATGTTTTAGCGGTATTCAATGATCTCTGTTAATTCAACATTCAAGGTTTTAACAAGAACAACAAAGACATTCATATCTTTAAAAAATGATTACTTCCTTCATAGGTAGTATTTGTTTTTCACACACATTTTATCTGATCTACCATTTTCAGTCCATTTATTTGACAGACGCCCTTCTTGAGCAAACCGAAGAAGGAGGTAAAATCAGTTTACACTTTGGTTCTGTGGATTAGATTTGACAAACTAGATTTGAATTCCTTTTATCCCTGTGGCTGTTCCTGACTAAATCAGTGGAGCAGAGGCTGCCATCTTGAATTTGTTCACATGTTTTCTGAATGGAAACCATGCTTGTACAATATGACTCAAGGATGTCAAGGCATTAATACTATTTAGTCTCGCCAAGTAGCACTACTACACAGCATGGGAAAGTTACTTTTTTGGCCCAGAGTTTGCAGAATTTCCATATCCAGAATGACCAAACTTTTCACTACCATACTTCTACTCTGAATTCGGACATGCATCTGACTGAGATCCCCATTTGGCTTCTATCTGTATTTCTGCTTCTCTCTACCTACTCACTGTTAAGTCTTCTAGATACAGTAACGTACATATTGTACTTACAAAACAATCACACTAGCCAAGAACTAAGCAGGTACATTTCTTCTATCCTCCTGAAAGATCATGTTCCATACAAAGCAGATCATTTAACCAATTGTCCATAATATGAGATATGATGGCAATAAGAGAGCCCTTTACCTGTTTGGGAAGCATCTCATCAATTTCTTCTTGCAGCTTCTGTTGAACATCTGGGTGGATGGCCAAGAAGTAAGACAGATAGCTAAGGGTATTGCTGGTAGTCTCATAACCAGCAAAAATAAAGATAATGGCTTGTGCCAATATCTCCTTGTCAGTCAGAGCTGAAAATAAATGAGAGAAAATACAAAGGTGAATCAATGTTACAAAGAAGCAGGCAGTAACAATAATGGTTGGAATAGTACTCCAAACAAGTAATTTTTGCAAGCTTGGTGTAGTGAATTTATAGCTTATCCACACATCCTCTTTGTTCCTGTTTAAGAGGTAGCTCAGCCAGCCATTGATTTAGATTAGTTTAATAAACTCCAGTAGATACATAAATCAATCCCTTCCATTTCTAGATTACTTCTCTCCTTTCATAACTGTTTTTGTTTTGTTTTCTTTCACAGTCAATGTCTTCCCAGTTCTGTTATATCTATCTTTTCCCTTGTTTCAAACAAACCAAATCCTTATGGAGGCATAAACAGTTAAAACTCTACTGGCATCATACGTGATGTCATCTGTGGCAGTGTTCTTATCAACAACTGACTCGTGCAGACTCTCTAAAAAGCAATAGGAAGTTCTGATGTTCTCCCCAGCACAGCTGCCTCTCGCACTCTGCTTCATGCTAGCAAGATCAATATAACATACTCTGTGGGGAAAAAAGAGCTAATAGCTCTAAGTTCTCCTTCTTTGTTTCCTGCATTTTATCATGCATTACTTGTCCATTGAGTTCTAGAAGGGATTCCTCTCTTTTTTTATTGCCCATAAAAGGGCATAGCTTGTGCATATTCCTTCCAAGGGAGAGAGGGGAAGAAAGGGCAGATAACAGAAAGGGATGGGGGAACAGTTGGTAGAGGAAGGGAGGGGATGTATAGTGTGGAAACTCAATTCACATTAGGGAAAAATTAAAAAAAGGTATCAAAGCCTGAAATGAGTCATTCCAGATATAATAATGATTATGATGATATCAATGATAACAATGATGATCCTCCAACCAAAATAGTTACAGGTGGAAGGGAACATATCAAGACTTCTATATGTACCCAGAAGTGTAGTTGCATTAAGAGCTCAGTCCTCAGCAGATGAAAGCTCACACAGAGTGCAAAATGAGATTTTAATTATATGACCTGAAATTGAAATGCTTCCCTTTGGTGCATCATAGTAGGTCAACTCCAGTGTTTTTTTCCTTGTAGGCATCCCAGTGCATTGCAGAAAATGTAAGACTGAAAACAGTTGGAGCATCTCCATCATTCCAGATATATGGAGGGAAAGGATTCCAGTTCCAACCCACATTACTTTGAGTCATACTCCTCAGTCACTGATTTTCATCTTCAACCTGCCTATCCTAGCAATATCCCCCAGGAGCCCCTGTTCAAATGGAAATCTGTGGCCTAATTCTGCTGGACCCACTGCCTCCTCCAAAACCAGTGATCTACCCTTCTTCACTACCACCAGTATTTCACTATTGTCTAATATAGAGCTGTACCATTGTGACCTACGTACTGTATATATTTACCTTTATACGAATTTGCCCCATCAGAGGTATCCCCTGAAATCTGGGAGTCCACCATTAGCTGCAGAAAGTCAACACGCTCCTGCAGGGAAAGAGAGAGAGTTTGTGGTTAGCAGAAAGGCCATACACATATCTCACTGTTCCTGATGATCAATGAGGTATTTAAGAATCAAGAAGCTGCTCAGTATGGTTTAGGGTAGATGATCTTGGGGCAGAATATTTCCTTTTAAAGAAAGACGGAGTCACACAAGTTATCTTGACTATGGCTCTCTAGAACAGTGGTTCTTAACCTTTGTTACTCGGATGTTTTTGAACTGCAACTCCCAGAAACCCCAGCCAGCACAGTTGGTGGTGAAGGCTTCTGGGAGTTGCAGTCCAAAACACCTGAGTAACCCAAGGTTAAGAACCACTGCTCTAGAAGACCACCCAAGGGGTTGAACTGACCATATGCTTATTCTTTTGCCGGTTGTTCTTGATCTTTTTCAGCACAGCTGTGAAGAATGTCACCACAGAAGAAGATAGGAGGGCGAAGTTTAGTTTCTCCAGCAATGGTTTGAGGGACGGAAAGACAACTGGAGAGAAAAACAATATGGTCTTTGAGTGAGAAAAGCCCACAAAGGTATCTCATTCAGCTCTCTCTAAGGGAAACAGTAAGGTAACTGTCATCTCCTTTTCGTGAGAACCTGAAACATGGGACTTGAGGAGATCATTTATGCCCTTGGGTTTCCCCTCCATCCTGGGTAAAAAGTGGGAAGGAGAAAGGAAGGAGGGGCCCTGGGGTTTAGCCTTGAAGGTTTGTGAAGGTCGATAATTACCATGAATGAATTGTCAAGAGGACAGGAGTGGCCATCCATAAGGGAAATTTAACCACCTTCCAATTCCACCCCACCTGCATTTTTTTTCAGCAGAGAAGGGAGTCAAAATGCACATCGGAACTTCGTACCAATCAGGATTAATAGTGGATTTACAAAGTTGAACTTTGTTAGCTTCTTGATGTTCAGGACAAAAGGATCGTTGGGGTTGTTTATGGAGTCAATGTCAATGCTGAAGGAAGTGCTGGCCACCACATCCATACTGTAGGCGCCAAAAATGCTGGCGGGAAGAGAGGGAGAAAACACAAACACATTTGACGTGATGACAATGTATGGCACGTGATGTATTTTCAAGAAATCTAAAACAGTCGGAGAGCAGGATTCAGAATGTGCTATTGTGAAAAGCATAGCTCCATCCGGAAATCAAACAGAGGGAGACAAAATGGTAGCATGTCTTTCTCTGAGATCCTTCATGAACCTCTCTGTTATTTAGTCCCACTCTAAGATATGCATCCATAGCCCCACAATCTTACTCACGCCTTCGTGTCTACGGATTCATTGTTCTCCACCTTCTTCTGGACCGTCTTCACCAAGATTTCCCCATAACGGTTGATTATAGGCATCATCTGGAACACAGATCAAAGCCTGAGATGCCATTGATTAAACGGGATTAGTATCAACTTTGCCTCATACTGTTCAGATGATCCAGATTTTGGAAACACAGCAGGACCAAGATAAGGCCTCCTTGTCCACCACCACCACCACTACCCCAAATCTGGAGCATTTAAGTGAGATGTGGCTGGAGCAGAAAGTGAGATACAATTAGTGTGGTTACATCCCTTCCCACAGGACTGAAAAGAAACGGAGTCCTTCCTTCTACGACAACAATCCCAAATGATTTCTATGACAGCAATTCCAAACAGAAGAGGGATTCACTTCGTTAGGAATTCAGTTGCTTTAGGATTGCTGAGAACAGATGAAACACACTGGCCAAAATACTTCTCAGGTAGCATGATGCCCAAGTAGAATGGCCTTCATGACTTACTTCCTTCAGTCTCCCACTGGTGAAGGTGGGAGAGAGAACCGTGCGGATCCTCTTCCAGTGTTCGTCTGCAACAATGAGTATGGATGTGTCTAGCTCTCCATTCAAACCAAAGTCCTTAGTAATGCAAGACATAAAAGAAAACAATAACAGGCATTGAGTTGTATCTCTAATTCTGAACCTCTGTTCCACATAGGATCAGCATTATCTAATTGAACCTTGAGACGTGTATGTTTGGGTGTGTATTACTTTGTTGTAATGTGCCATCAAGTCAGAATGGACATAAAGGAATGCTAATAAGGCTTTCAAGCTAAGCAGGGTGTTTAAGGACTGCTTTTACCGGTTCTACACCACCAGTGAGTTTTCATAGCTGAGCAAGGATTTGAACCCAAGCCTCCTGAATCTTAGTCATGACTCACTTTATCCACTTCCCCACATAGGGTACCCATTAATATATACAGTGGTACCTTGCAAGTCGATGACCTCGCTAAACAACGAATCTGCATAAGGATGACTTTTTGTGATTGCTATAGCGATTCGCAAAACAGTCATTCCGATGGGGGATTTTCGCTTGACGATGATTTGGTCCGTGCTTCCCGAACCGTTTGTTCACAAGACAATAATTTTTACAGCTGATCATCAGCTTTGCAAAATGGCTGCCCTGTATTTTCAGGACCCAGAGCTGATCGGCATTCATAAAATGGCTTCCCTATGGGCGATCTTCGCTGGACAACAAGGTATTTTCAACCACTGGAATGCATTTAACAGGTTTCAATGCATTCCAATGGGGAAACGCTTTTTGCATGATGACAATTTCACAAAACAGCGATTTCAGTGGGACGGATTATCGTAGTCATGCGGGGCACCACTGTAAATACATACGTGCAGGTCAACTTCGCAGTGTATCTTATCCACAAAAGGGGTGAACCTACCCGGCGGTTGGTGAAATGGGTGTAGAATTCTTTCACCAAGATGGTTTTGATGATGGAAGGATCCAGAATAGCCAGCAGTGGCTGTCGGCCATCAAAGATTCTAGTTGCAACAAAGAAGGAAGAGAAACTTTGTTAATTTATCTATTTGTTTATCTATTTGCTTCCTTTCTCCTGGCACTGGGACTCCAGGCTCCTCAGAAATAATTAAACAAGAAAAAGAATAACAAATTATAAACAATTGTAAAAGTATTAAGCAAGCAAAAATGAAAAGCATCATAAAATATAATCACTAATTAACCAATGTAAACACATTTAGATTAGAAGATTAGATTAGAGGGACATGCTGGTAGTAAATATAGGAAAATTGGTTATGCTGAAATCTGATGTTAAACACCCAAAGCCTGTTGGAATAAAGATGTTTTCCCTTGCCACCGAGAAGAGAGGAGGGAGCTTAGCCCCACAGAGGGAGGCAGGCCATAACCTGGGGGCAACCACTGAGAAGGCCCACTCTCCGGTCTCTGTCGAAGACATCTGTAAAGATGGCAGGACCAAGAGGAGGGTCTCAAGGTCCAAGGAGAGTTAAAAGGGAGTTCTAGGCTGTGTCGGATAGCCTCGGCTCAAGCTCACTAGATCTCCTTATGTAGTATGCTCTGCTTTGAACCGGGCTTGGGAACAGACTGGTCGTCAGTGCAGCTGGTCTAAGGGAGGAAATTCTGAGCACTATTTCTACAGTTTTACTTGAATTCGTTTGTGGATAAGAGCTGAGATTTGGGTGGAGCTTCAGTTCAGCAGAGAATTCATTTGAAATAACAGGTAGAAATAACAACAGGTTACTCACCCCCAGATCTTGCCATACTTTTGATGACACTTCAGGTCAAACTCGAGGAGCCCCTGAAAGAATAAATAATCAAAAAGAGATGTCAGAGAAGCACCGAGCAAGAA